ATTGTATATATATTGTATTGTCTGATCCCCTCTGGAACCGACAGGTGGCGCTAATGCACCTTTAAACTTGATGCCAACCGCCTTCAAACTCAAAGAAGAAGAAGAGTCAGAACAAAACCGTGATGACGTATTGCGTCACGTCATACGTCATACCTCCTCCACTTGAGACCAGAAAGAAGAAGAAACATGGCTGCAAGGTTGTTGCTCCGCTCCGCTCTCAGAGCCGCTAAAACATGCCGTGCTGCCCCGGTTCCGGCTCTGAGTCGCGGCATGGCTGCTGGAGGTGAGACCAGAACCACCACCGTGATATACATCTTTAAAAACCCGAGACATTTGCTTTTAAAGGTCTTTTAAAAAGGTCAAACGATCCCCTCGGTGACTGCCGGTTAGCATTAGCATCGTTAGCATGGATAGGTCAAAGAGGATTTTCCGTCTTTTTAGTTTTAATTTAAACTCATAGAAATGTATTTTCTTAATGATTCATCTTTTGTTTTTAACCACGGTAGTTGTTTATATATGTAAAGCATTAGTTGTATGTATAGACCCAATGTTACCTAACTCACATTGACAGGACGTTAGCCTGTAAGCTAATGCTAAGTGTCTTATGTGATTAAGCAGTGGAGTATTTCAAAACTAATGTATACTTCTCCACTACGTTTCTAATTATACTTTTCACATATGACAGCAGATGATATGCTGTATGCTATGAGCCAGAAGTCCTCTGTTAGCGGGGTCATTTACTGTGTTACAGCACAAGGGGTAAAACAGGCATTACCTTATATAACTTATTAAATATAGAGACATGTTAGACCACATTATTCATAAAGACAATCACACAGCCATGGCTAAAAGTGAGTAGCAGCAATACAAATATAAAAACTAAGTGACATAAGTATATATACATGTTATCCTATGTAAGCACATATTCCTGCTACTAACTGCAGTATTTATGACTTTTTTAAAGAACTTTTTAATCATCCAGAATGTGTGTATTGTGTATATTTGATATCATATTTTTTTACACACACAGACACACACAGAGACACACACACAGACACATTTTATTTGTACTTTTAATATTTAGTTGTTAATTCTCTCTTCAACTTAAGTTTGTATATATACATATATATATATATTACGTCTGAACACAATGGTTAATGATTTCGTTACAGAAGAAGCATCAACTTGGGATCAATAAATTACACATCTGTCTATCTAAGGAACATATGAAGGTGTTGAGATGTTTTTATGTCGTATACGTCCACGGAAACAAAGGAGTAGACATGAGGAACATATTCAGGTGTTGAGACGTTATTCAAAATGCGTCTTGCAATTGCAAATAAGTCTTCATTTTGTTCACCCCTTGGTGTACTAGTTAGTCGTAGTTATTTCATTTCATTTCAAACCTTTATTTATCCAGGTTGTATCCCATTGAGATCATTGACCTCTTTTTCAAGGGAGACCTGCTCAAGTAGGTTCCACATGAAACATTAAAAACATAAACAGAACAACAAAAGGACATCATACAGCATCATTACAGGGATTACAGTTTACATACTATCCACATGCACAGGTACCAACAGCTTCCGATTGAGTAGCATCCAACCGAGCTTTAAAAACATGTAGTGGCACCAGATTGCTCAGTTTCCATTTCAATTGCAGACTATTCCAGGACAGTGGAGCTGCGCATCTAAATGCTATCTTCTCTAAGACAGTCCTAGCAGTTGGCACATTTAATAAAACCACAGCATGGTTATGGTTAAAGTAAGGCATTAAAAACCCTCAGAAGTTTAATTGTGTAACGCTTTTATCTCTCAGGAATCCCCACTGACGAGGAGCAGGCCACCGGCATGGAGAAGATCATCATGAAGGCCATGAAGGAGGGGTCGGTGAGTTAGAGGCACGTGTAGGGCTGTGCAATTCATCGCTTTGTAATCGCAATTACGATTTTGGCCTGCCACGATTACAAAAACAACATCATCGAAAAAAACGATTATTTAGCTTTGCTTGGTTGTGACCGTGCAACATATTTGATCTCATTGATTTTATAGTCTAATTTATTTATCATATTTATATATGTTTAGTAGCTTGTTGAAGTGCGCTCCAAAATATTTGTTGATCTTTTTTATTGATATTTATGTAAATGTCAAAATAAAAGTATCATTTATTTTATGTATTGGTTTTTCAGTTGAATTATACGTTCAGGGTAATCAACAGTTAAACAGATACTGTTCAAATTATTATTTTAATTTGTTTTAAAGTTCAATAAATTGACGTTTTCAAAGCCAATGAATAATCGTATTTAATAATCGTGATATCAATTATTGACCAAAATAATCGTGATTATGATTTTTGCCATAATCGCACAGCCCTAGTGACTCGTCTCTATCGCATGCTTTAAGTTGAAGTTGTCTGAAGTCCTCACCACCAGCTGCTCTTGCAGTAACAAGTAGTGCACCTTTCTTACGGTCCTAATGTGCTCAATGTAGGGACTACTTTTTCTCTTTTGGTTTCTTAGTGATGTTCTCTGTATTTTATATGTTTGTGTTTTGTGTAACGTTGCTGCCTTCTTGGCCAGGTTTGATCTCAATGCTTTTTTATCTGGTTAAATACAAATAAAATAAAAAATATTTAGTGTGCAATCAGGAACCAGAGATGTCAAAAGTACACACACCTTTACTCAAGTGAAAGTACACACACCTTTACTCAAGTAGAAGTACACACGTCCTTTACTCAAGTAGAAGTACACACGTCCTTTACTCAAGTAGAAGTACACACGTCCTTTACTCAAGTAGAAGTACACACGTCCTTTACTCAAGTAGAAGTACACACGTCCTGTACTCAAGTAGAAGTACACACATCCTGTACTCAAGTAGAAGTACACACGTCCTTTACTCAAGTGGAAGTACACACATCCTTTACCCAAGTAGAAGTACACACATATCCTTTACCCAAGTAGAAGTACACACATATCCTTTACCCAAGTAGAAGTACACACACCTTTACCCAAGTAGAAGTACACACATCCTTTACTCAAGTAGAAGTACACACATCCTTTACTCAAGTAGAAGTACACACATATCCTTTACCCAAGTAGAAGTACACACATATCCTTTACCCAAGTAGAAGTACACACATCCTTTACTCAAGTAGAAGTACACACGACCTTTACTCAAGTAGAAGTACACACGACCTTTACTCAAGTAGAAGTACACACGACCTTTACTCAAGTAGAAGTACACACATCCTTTACTCAAGTAGAAGTACACACATCCTTTACTCAAGTAGAAGTACACACATCCTTTACTCAAGTAGAAGTACACACATCCTTTACTCAAGTAGAAGTACACACATCCTTTACTCAAGTAGAAGTACACACATCCTTTACTCAAGTAGAAGTACACATCCTTTACTCAAGTAGAAGTACACGCGTCCTTTACTCAAGTAGAAGTACACGCGTCCTTTACTCAAGTAGAAGTACACGCGTCCTTTACTCAAGTAGAAGTACACGCGTCCTTTACTCAAGTAGAAGTACACGCGTCCTTTACTCAAGTAGAAGTACACGCGTCCTTTACTCAAGTAGAAGTACAAACGCGTCCTTTACTCAAGTAAATTACAACGCGTCCTTTACTCAAGTAGAAGTACACACGCGTCTTTACTCAAGTAGAAGTACACGCGTCCTTTACTCAAGTAGAAGTACACGCGTCCTTTACTCAAGTAGAAGTACACGCGTCCTTTACTCAAGTAGAAGTACACGCGTCCTTTACTCAAGTAGAAGTACACGCGTCCTTTACTCAAGTAGAAGTACACGCGTCCTTTACTCAAGTAGAACGTACAACGCGTCCTTAGACTCAAGTAGAAGTACAACGCGTCCTTTACTCAAGTAGGAAGTACACGCGTCCTTTACTCAAGTAGAAGTACAACCTCGTCCTTTACTCAAGTAGAAGTACAACGCGTCCTTTACTCAAGTAGAAGTACACGCGTCTTTACTCAAGTAGAAGTACACGCGTCCTTTACTCAAGTAGAAGTACACGCATCCTTTACTCAAGTAGAAGTACACGCGTCCTTTACTCAAGTAGAAGTACACGCGTCCTTTACTCAAGTAGAAGTACACACCGTCCTTTACTCTAGTAGAAGTACACGCGTCCTGTACTCAAGTAGAAGTACACGCGTCCTGTACTCAAGTAGAAGTACACGCGTCCTTTACTCAAGTAGAAGTACACGCGACCTTTACTCAAGTAGAAGTACACGCGTCCTTTACCCAAGTAGAAGTACACGCATCCTGTACCCAAGTAGAAGTACACGCATCCTTTACCCAAGTAGAAGTACACGCATCCTGTACCCAAGTAGAAGTACACGCATCCTTTACCCAAGTAGAAGTACACGCATCCTTTACCCAAGTAGAAGTACACGCATCCTTTACCCAAGTAGAAGTACACGCATCCTTTACTCAAGTAGAAGTACACGCATCCTTTACTCAAGTAGAAGTACACGCATCCTTTAACTCAAGTAGAAGTAACAACGCATCCTTTACCCAAGTAGAAGCCTTACTCAAGTCACAAAGTACACGCATCCTTTACTCAAGTAGAAGTACACGCATCCTTTACTCAAGTAGAAGTACACACATCCTTTACTCAAGTAGAAGTACACACGACCTTTACTCAAGTAGAAGTACACACATCCTTTACTCAAGTAGAAGTACACACATCCTTTACTCAAGTAGAAGTACACACATCCTTTACTCAAGTAGAAGTACAAAACGACCTTACTCAGTAGAAGTACACACTCCTTTACTCAAGTAGAAGTACACACATCCTTTTACTCAAGTAGAAGTACCACATCTCCTTTACTCAAGTAGAAGTACACACATCCTTTACTCAGTAGAAGTACACACACCTTTACTCAAGTAGAAGTACACACGACCTTTACTCAAGTAGAAGTACGACTTACTCATAATACACTCCTTACCTCAAGTAGAAGTACACACATCCTTTACCCAAGTAGAAGTACACACATCCTGTACCCAAGTAGAAGTACACACATCCTTTACCCAAGTAGAAGTACACACATCCTTTACCCAAGTAGAAGTACACACATCCTTTACCCAAGTAGAAGTACACACATCCTTTACTCAAGTAGAAGTACACACATCCTTTACTCAAGTAGAAGTACACACATCCTTTACTCAAGTAGAAGTACACACATCCTTTACTCAAGTAGAAGTACACACATCCTTTACTCAAGTAGAAGTACACACACTCGTGTTTAAAAATACTCTGGTGAAAGTAGAAGTACTGACTAAACTTCTTTACTCAAGTAAAAGTAAAGAGGCTTTGAAATGTACTTCAGTAAAAAGTACCCATAACTAGCAGCTGTTTTAAAGAGTACCTGAGTACAGGTATTTGGGTATTTGTGTTCAACATGTAAGAAGTAGAAAGTACAGGTATTTGTGTGCAACATGTAAGAAGTAGAAAGTACAGGTATTTGTGTACAACATGTAAGAAGTAGAAAGTACAGGTATTTGTGTTCAACATGTAAGAAGTAGAAAGTACAGGTATTTGGGTTCAACATGTAAGAAGTAGAAAGTACAGGTATTTGGGTTCAACATGTAAGAAGTAGAAAGTACAGGTATTTGTGTTCAACATGTAAGAAGTAGAAAGTACAGGTATTTGTGTTCAACATGTAAGAAGTAGAAAGTACAGGTATTTGTTAGTAGAAAGTACAGGTATTTGGGTTCAACATGTAAGAAGTAGAAAGTACAGGTATTTGTGTTCAAACATGTAAGAAGTAGAAAGTACAGGTATTTGTGTTCAACATGTAAGAAGTAGAAAGTACAGGTATTTGGGTTCAACATGTAAGAAGTAGAAAGTACAGGTATTTGTGTTCAACATGTAAGAAGTAGAAAGTAGTGAAAAATTAAATATAAAATATTTCTAGTTTGAACCAAAATATAATACTAATATCATAAAAGTATCTTTTTTAACCAAAATGGCATAAAAACACATAATTCTAATACGGGTCCTTTTTGAGCCACTGATGGAAGAGAGTAGGGTCCGGGCACTCGGGCATCTAAGGGTTAACAAGCTTTTCTTTTCAATTTTGACTTGATAACCTCAGATAATTCCACTCATCGCTCTGTCCACCTTCTGGATGACAGTCTTCTTGATGATCTTAATGAATCACCCTTCATCTTGAATGTAACCCGTGTGTGTGTGTGTGTGTGTGTGTTTCCTTTAGGACCCGTACAGCATGCTGAAGCCCAAAGCGTACGCCGGCTCTAAGGCCGACCCTCACATCGTGCCCTCCATCACCAGCCAGAGGATCGTGGGATGCGTCTGTACGTCAAGTCCTTCATTCAAACCTGTCCTTTACTCATCAGCCTTCACTCTGGCTTCTACGTGTTTCATACACACACGGGTACACACACTGTAACAGGGAGCACTTTGAGGTCCGGTGCCTTGCTCAAGGGCACCTCTCCAGCTCCACACTGACTCCAAACAGACCACCCCTTTTTTGAGAAAGCGAGATTAGTGGATCAAATATTTTGCGATAAGATTATTAAATGACTCGTTCCAAATTCAGGGACACAAAGGACAGCTGACTGGGATTGAACCTGTGATCATAAGATCAGCGCACTCTCCCACTGAGCCACAGCCTCCCAACATGTTTTGTCACTTAATGGTTTGGCACCCACGTGTCTCAGAGTCTCGTTGTTTGTCCCTGGACGAGCCCTGAAGCCCCCCCCCAAATGAAATGGGTTTCATCCCCTCCGCTCCCAGACTGTGGGGCGATAAACATCAGAGAGGAAAACTCAGAGGACGCGTTTAACCGCCAGCTAAAGACACATCTTTTTAGATCAGCTTTTTATTAGCAACCCCTCACTTTAAATGTTCTTTTAGGCTTTTATTAATTACCTACTTTTATAGTATTTCTGTTGTACCTTAAAGGTGGGGTAGGTAAGTTTGAGAAACCGGCTCGAGATACACTTGTTGTTATATTCCATGGAATGCTCTTAACATCCCGATAGCAATGAATATCTGAAGTGCTTTGACAGAAAATCCATAAAAAAATATCATCTGTGGAAGCTGTAGTACTGTAAAAAGCACGACCAATCATCTGAGCCGGCCCGGCTAAAATGACTGGATGGCCTACCTGCCTGTCAGCCTTCCATCTGTGCACAAACTTATCTCGTGCCCTCATTGGTCATGTGCGCGTTCGTGTGTGTTGGAGGAGGGGCTCTGTGAGGAAGTGGCAGATTTTCTCCGGTTGTGTATTTTCAAATTCTAGCGATCTCGAGCCGGTTTCTCCATTCTTACCTACCCCACCTTTAAAGCACGTTGAGCTGCATGTGCTGTATCAATAAAGCTTTATCATTATTGATACCCACGGGACGTAACAATGTTTGAACTATAGTGCACGATCAATATCTGAGTTACAAAATGAGCATTTGTTAAAGTCTAAATTTAAGAAATGATTGGAGGATCTCATTAATGTCTCTCT